TGGGCAGGGTGGTGACTGATGGGCCAAGCAGCATGCTGGCGGGGCGCATGCTCTCTCAGGTATCCCACCGCGAGAAGGCTACATGGGTTCCATCTGTAGCCAAGGACACAGGGGATGCTATCAGGTAAGTACTTTCTCCTTTTCCTAAGTGGGTCTTCTCTAGGAAAGCCAAGGCTGATAACACAAAGCTAGCCAAAAAGTCTGCCAAGCACAGCTAAAATACAGAATACTCAACTGGTGAAAATACTTACCATGCTTGTCACCTGGATACAACAATAAACAATTTGTTAAAAAGAATGCGTACAAAGGCAGGGTTATTTTTCTTCTTCAGTTAAAAAATATAAATGTATATAAACACACAAACCTGGGTTATAATAAAATGGGTAGGAATGTGGGTTGTTTTTTTCTTCACATTTTTGGAGGAATGTATGACCCACATAACTATCTAGAAGGTCAATTACCAACAACTACAACAATGAAAAAGTACCCCCCATTCCTCCGAGCTGGTTCTGTGGCTCCCCCAGCACAGATGGGAGAAATGGCCACAGCCCTGGTGGGGGACAGGCCCTAGGGATGCAGGCAGGGCTTCATGCTGGGTACACATGTCAAGGTCCCTGGCTGCTAGCAGGAAGTCTATAAATCTATCTGGCCCCAGAATCCATGAAAGTGGGAACAAAATGGTGACATCAAAATAAAAAGATCGCCCTCCACAGCTGCCATTCAGAGTTCAGAGAGTGAATGAAAGGCCAAGGCAAGCTTCGGGTAAGACAGAGTACCAGCAGAGAGGTGGCTGCACTGTTCACAGATTCACCCAAAGGTGGTGAATAAACATGCTGAGGTGCCAAAGGCAAGGCCAAAAGAAGTTAAAAAAAATAAAAATAAAAGCCTATAAGATAATTTCTAGGGGCTTCTAAGAAAGACCAATTAGGTGTCCCCCAAGTCGGACAGACACAACTTTGCCCCATAACTGCCAGGAATATGAGTTTTCAAAGTTTATATTAACCCTTGAAAAAGAGCCTAACACTTGCATAAATTTTTATAATATTTTATCTGTTTTTTTTTGGCTTTTAACTGAAAAAATAATGAGGCTCATGGGACGGCTCTTGGGGGATGCACTCAGTCATTATAAGCATCTGTATGGTCGTGTGCTGCAGCTGAATAACACACGAGGACCCTGCAAGCTTGCAGGGCTACTGGTCCCCAGTGGAAGGACCATGGTGACTAGAGTGAGGCTTTTGCCACTCTGGTCAGGTGTCATTCTTCTTCAGATTGTAGCTACATTTATTTATCTGCTGAGTGCCCTAACCTAAAGCTATTCCTCTGGTAACTTTTTAAAATCTGAAACGTTTCAGATACTAAGATGTCTGAAAAAAGACAAATCTTGAAGTCTGTGGAATTTTATGATAAACTGACTGGCTGTGTACAAATGCCCCAAAGCCAAACTGAGCCTCACACACACACTGATCTCAGCCCCAGGCAATCTACTCTTAGCTGGCCCCGGGTGGCTCACCTGCTACCTGCCCCATCACCCTCTCAGAGGGTGATCCGTGGGTAACAAACAGAAAACATGGCTTTAGTCATGCTTACTCTCTTCTCTGTCAAGAATACAAACTCACTGGTTTCTCTTTGGGACAGTCAATTTGGACTCCAGTCCCCATGCCACTTATCCCTAACGAGAGGTTATAAACGCCCTCAAGGTGATTTCTGAAACTGAAGTAATGGCATAGGTATGCCCACAGGTGCCTTCCCCAACAGGGAACAAGCCTTAGCTTCCCCAGGGCTCAGGCTAGGGTTTCTGGGAAAATGGCAGCCCAGACTTCCTGCTTGTCTAGCTGACGCAAATTCAGGAAAAACTACAAAAGAGCCGTAGGCTTGGGTCTATTCCAAAAGTACATCACAGGGCTCTCTCCGACCTGAGCGTTCTGTTTATGGAATGCTGATGACAGGAGCTATTCTGCTCGCCCCAACACAGAGCTCGTTTGTGCACAGTTGGGTGGAGTGACTCACCCATTGAAAGCCCAGGTCCAAGTGGAAGTGAGCTCCCTACATCTCCATAGCCCACTCTTAATTCTAGTCGAGTTTGCTAGGCTGATTAAAAAGTTCCTCAAAATGTTCACGAGGAAAGTTTGATACTTCTTATTTAACAGGGAAATCGGGAAAGGAGAAATGTCACCAGCTTTGCTGTTTATGTCACAGCTTCAGAACATGGTCTTTTTCTTTAGGTAAATAAAGTGGGACTGTCTTATTACCCAGCATGCCATGAGGTACCTGAATGAAACAAAAGTTCCAAAGCAGGAGTTCGAATTCAAATGCTTCCATCACACCAAGTTGATCTGTGCCAGGAAAAGGCATTCTGGCCGAGGAGTCAGGGACCTGGCTCTCTATCTGCCTCTGCCTCATGTTAATGGGGTGCATTACCTTGGGCAAGTCACTTAATACTCTCCCCTTGTCTACAAAATAAAAGATTTAAACTTTATTCTCTCAAGTCCTTCTGGTTATAAAATTGAAGCTGTGAGTGTGAGTTCCATCATAAGCAAATACACTTTAATGCATATAACCAAAAAACTGCTAGTGTAAAGACAGCCGAATGTTAAAATTTGGGCAGGGCTTGGCCGCCTATCCTAATAGAGAGAAAGCCAAGTGTGGAGAGGAAATTGTATCTCAAGTAGAGGTTATTTCTGTACTTGACCTACCTACTTGAGAATAGGCAATTTTCTGCAAATGGACTACAATGTCTATACCAGTGATTTCCTACCTTTTGTAGTGGAAACGCTCTGATTACTCATTTAATTTCATAACATCTCTCCTTTATAGATGATATACATTTAAAAACTAAAAGAATGAAATTTTTGTTGTTGTTTAAAATCTAAAGTAACCCTGCAGATAATAAGCTCCACCAGGGAAAATCAGAACTGAGAGCCTGGCTGCAAACCCACTTATCCTGAAATGGGAGGAAGGAAGGATGCCAAGCGAAGAGATTTCCATGGAGGGATCTGTAAATTGTCATTTTCGGCCGAGAGATACAGGCCTGGCTTTGAAGAAATGATAACTGTAAGTGTCAGGCCTGAGTAAATTGCTTCTCTGTGTCACTCTAGTCTAATATCCTGGACTTTTAAACATTCCACTCTATCCTTACTACTCATCTCCCTAGATTATAGGGGGGAGGGTATGTTGCTAATCTACTCAAATACTGGAGCTTCAGTAAATTCAAAAATATATGCTACCTTTGTACACCATATTAATTTTATTCTAAAATGTTTTCACACCAACAGTTCTGGGACGTGGATGAGATTTACAACAGATGAGCACACTGCTGTATCTTGAAAAACTGATACAGTTTTAAGTCAATACTGAGTTATCATCTATGATGTCTGAGGTTACAGGAAACCCTCAGAGTGTGGATGTACATAGGAGCATGCATGAACAAGACAAATGTGTCCTAGGAAAAAGCTTGGACAACTTCATACTGACACCTTATTACTGATTTTAAGCCCATCTATCCCTAAGATGACAAAGAATGGGGCCACAGAAAGCTGAGTATTGGGGGAATAAGAAAAGGTAACTCTTCCTTTCCAACTGAACCCTAAGTCAAACCTGTGACCTGGACTGTGGAAAATGTTTATGAAGCAGGCAACATGGGTCTAAGACTGTTGATGGGTTGCTAGGATCGAATGGCCCATCTGACCTGAGAATGAGGGCAGACAAAGCACTCTAACTTGGGGTGCATGTCTCAGGACCCACTCCTCTCCCCTCCCTGCCCAACTTCTGGCACCCCACGGTATCAATGGCCTCACTACCCCAGTCACATGGGGTCTGGCAGGATGTGCCACTCAGAAACGCCTCAGCCCAAGCTTTTCACATCGTTATTGTTACTAAGTAAACAGACTTTCATATTTCACGAAGCAGAGCAAGGCTGCTGCTACAATTCTGGGTTCGGCTGACTGCCTCCTTCTAATGGTTGAAAGTACGACAATGTCTACATGTAATATACATGACGGAAAGGCAGCTGCATCGCAGATGCACATATCGGAGTGGTGTGCTCCCAAAAGTCAAGGACATTTTATGAACTGGTTTCTGGATAGTTTCTTTCTAGCGTTTTCCTTTTAATCAGTTCCTTTCTCCTTTGCTTCTCCAGCTTCTTATTTTTCTGGGGAATCAATTATCTCATAATTCATAGGCATTAACCATAAACAAACAAAGATAAAGTACAAAGGTCACAGGCTTGCATGTACAATTTTATAGCTGTCATATATGGAATTTTAATGAACAGCCTTCTAGGCCAATATATTCCAAACACTTTATCCAGGGCCCATCATTTCAGAATTTAAGGACTCCAATCTAATTTATTCACATGGAAGTCTACCATTTTAACAGGAAAAATGCATACAGTTAAAAAAAAGACCATGGATTCAAAAACTCTTGATAGCTATTAAATGTTTCCCTCTAAATATACTTTTTCCAGCAATATAAAAATATAGTGCAAGAGAGGAAAGACAGCAATTTGCTTGCAAAATCACTTTTGCAGAAAAAGATAAAACACAGAATACTTCCCTAAAAGTAATTTTGCAGATGCTGTTTCTAATCTTGCACTCTGTGAATTCGCATGACTTCTGCAATTATTAGCAGTAGCCCCTGAGCAGATAAACATCACAAAACTCTCTGAGAGTTCTGGAGAAAGGATGAAGGGCACTTGAATGCTCCCAGCCATGATCTCCAATTTGCTTATTATTAGAGGAAGCAGGAGTAAATACAAAAGGGGCTATTTCGGTCAGGCAACGGCCAATGCCGAGGAGAGAAGGCACATTCACACCCCTCCTGACTTCCCATGTAACGAGGAGCAATTAATTCATCTTATTGTGCTTCCAAATGCCAAAGACTCCATCCACATCAAAGAAAACTGTGTCAAGGCTTTGACTATTGTTCATTTTTAAATGCACTGAGCTATATTTAGTATTTTATAATTGTCAAGTGTTTCCTTTCATTCTGATATGGAGCTCAGCAGCATTATGGATTGTAGATGAGGATCCAGGTGATTTGTAGGTATGCCTGATGATTCTCCCCCAGGAAGCCTGGGATTTAGATCAGCTAATGCCAGGTCTGGGTGTGGAGAGAAGGCACCCTTCTGACATTAGTCCCCTTTCCCTTCAGAGGTGACAGCAAGAGGCCAGGGGTAAATCTTCCCGGAAAAGCCAGAGGAACCTAAGCAGGCAGCTGGCTCAAGTTTAGCTCCAGACTGAGGACCAACTCCCAACACTCACCTTTT